AGAGAATAAGCTGGCTGACCTGCATGGCCTGCTCTTACCTTCTCAACAGACCCCTATCTGCAGTTGACTGTCTCCCACTCATCTCAACTAATGAAATATTTTGTTCTGTTAGTTTTTGGCTTAGGCTCTGCTTTTTAAACCCTGAACTTGAAGCACATAGTGACAAAGTATGTGTTCAGTTATCATGGATTTAGTTTTTTGATCCAGCACATTCCAGGGCATTGTCTTGTGGAAAAGACAGCAGAGCAGAAGGAAGACTGAAGAACAAACTGGATACGATCTTTCAGGCTCCTCTTGGAATCCCTATCACACAGGCAGGCCTATCTCTGCTCCAGCAGATTAAGTGATCTATGCTATTCATGAGGTTTTTAGTTAATTATTTGAAAGACAGAGTGATAAAGAGAAAAGGCACACATACTTGAGAGAGAGAAAAAGATCTTTCATCTATTGTATCAATCCCCAAATAGCTGGAACAGCCAAGGCTGGGCCAGTCCAAAGTTACAAGTCAGGGATTTCGTGTGGGTGTCAGGAGTTCAAGTATTTTGGTCATCATTTGCTGCCTTCCTAGGTGCATTAGCAGGAAGCATAGTTGGAAGGGAAGTATCTGGGTCTCTAACTCATCCTCTGATATGGGATGCAGACATCCATTGCTCTCCCAGGTCATTAGCAGAAAGCTAAATCTTTTATGGAGCAGCCAGGACTCGAACTGACAGCAACATGGGATCCTGGAGATGTACATTGAGGCTTAATCTCAGTGCCGATCTGAGGATACAAACATTCTAAGAGGTAACTGAATTCCACTATGCCAGAATGCCAGCCTTAGGCACATCATGTTTACTATATGAGATTATAACTTGAAGGAGGCACTTTCTAAATTTTATATTTCCACTGTTTTTCATAATATATAGGAGGTACATATTAGGATTCTCCACCGTGAAGATCACAAGATGAGAGTTTTGAAACTACTTTGTGTACTATCTGTCAGGTGGTGGATTTTAGTGTGGCTAGCTAAAGTGTATCACAAAGAGATCAGCTATCAGCATGCCACTGACAATCCTGAGCTTGCTGGCAAGTGACAACAAAAAATGAATGTGACTGGGCCCGGCATGCACATCTAGAGGCTAAAACCCTTGCCTTGCATGCCTTGGAATCCCATACGGGCACCAATTCCAATCCCAGCAACCCCATTTCCCATCCAGCTCCCTGCTTGTGGCCTGGGAAAGCAGTAGAGGATGACTCAAAGCCTTGGTCTCTGCACTCATGTGGGAGACCTGAGGAGGCTCCCTGGCTCCTGGCATTGGATCGGCTCAGCTCCAGCCATTATGGCTGCTTGAGGGCGTGAATCAATGGACAGAAGATCTTCCTCTCTGTCACTCCTCTTCTGTATATATGACTTTCCACAGAAAATAAACAAATCTTTTTAAAAAAAATGTATGTGACTGGGGTGGGTGCTATGACATAGTGAATCATGCCTCCATTGCAGCACCGACATCTCACATGGGTACCGCTTCAAGTCCTGGTTGCTCCACTTCCTATCTAGCTTTCTGCTAAAGTACCTGGGAGCAGGAAGGATGGTCCAAGTCTGTGGAGCCTTGTACATAAGATATCAGGAAGAAACTCCAGGTTCCTGGCTTCGGACCAGCCCAGCTCTGGTTGTTGAAGCCATTTGGGGAGTGAACCAGCAGATTGAAGACCTCTGAATCTCCATATTTCTATGTAGATTTGCCTTTCAAATAAAAATAAGGAAGTCTTCAGGGAAAAGAAATGTATGTGACTAACAATGATTTGTATTGCAATCAAAAGGAAATTCAGTAAAGTGTTGCACATTAAAATAATGGGAATTGGCCTCATGTTAGCCATTCTTGTCTCTGGTTTTTCCACTGTTAGCTTCTGTTGCTACAATAGGAAGGCTTGGTGTCCAAGAACCAGTCCTTTAGGGATGATCTGAGATGTTTCTGTGCTTGTTGTTAGATTAATTATAGGGTCAGAAATTGGAGAGGCTGGGAAGACATTTATATTGAGCCAGACAAGAGAGGTCGAGGAAGAAGACAGACTCCTTATTTATTGTCAGCACATTGTAAATAAAGTGTGGGCATAACCTTAAAGATTTGTAGAAGAGTCCCAAGCCCTGTTCTGCCAGGATTGGGAACTGGTAAAGAGAAGTACATGTGCACTTGGGTTCACCCGGGACAGAGAGAAGGGAGAGGAGGCAGAGCAGCCTAGAGTGAGTGGGGCTCCCAGGCCCCACACTCTGACATGCTCCCTACCACCCAGCTTGATGTTTTATCAACACAATGCCATGTTTATGAGTTAGCAAAAGGCCTTTCACAGTGCAAATCTGTAACAATGAATCAATGTCACAAATACATAAGATGAAAGGAGAGAAGGTTAACTCTACCCCTTGACAAGAATGGAAGAGGCCCTGGGCCTGACAAAACACATATGGTTAAGAATATATAAAGTTTTCAAGACAGTTCAGTCTTAAGTCACAGATAATTTTCAATTTTTACTGAAGGATTTTCCCAATTCATTCTTCTCTTTGTTCTGCCTTGTTTTCCATAGTCAACACTTTGTAGATCAATCCCAAGAGCCAAATAGAAAGTTGTCAAATACGTACCATTCCTTATGCCTCACCTTACACCTTACACCCAGTTGGTGGCTAGCTTTTTATATGTGCCGCTTGCTACATTACGCAAAATCAGAATTTGGTAACACTCCAAAAAAGGAGAGAGTTTGTAGTCTCTCACAGACCCCCCCTTGTTTGTTATTACCTTGATTCTTCTTTGTTTCATGTCAAGAACTTCAGCTGATTTCCCCTCTAGTCTATCCTCAATTAACATAAAGATGTAAACAAAGCCTTGCCCCCACCTGCCGCTCGGCTTCTCTGTGGCCTCTCTTTGCTAGAAGGATGACTGTAGAACACATGTTACTGACTGTACCTAGGAAAAAAATTCAGCCCTCCTCTAAATGATGCATGTGGTTTTGTGGGGCTAATAACTCTTAACACTATTATTATGGGCCGTGTGTTCTTCCCTGGGGTATCTATTGTGTCACATTCTTTGGCCCAAATGTCATCTCTGACAATTACGAATGTGGAAGATAAAAATCACTATAGAATTCTTATTCCATAAATAAATGCTTAAATAACCACCACCACTAGTTATTTGATCATGAATAAAACTCATTTGTCATCATCATGTTCTGTTTGATGAACACAGTAAAAAAAAGACACATGCTTGGTGAGAACCTTCAACAAAATATGAACCCATTCAGTAGCTCTTTAAGCCAGTAACTTTGTTTTCTTATGTTTCCTGAATTTTCGTTATGTTTTTGTTTGAGGATGCTACAAAGAATGTTTGCCACATGCAGCAACCAATGAATTAAAAGACATGGAAAGTTAAACTGTACACAAGATTGTTCCAGAATTTGTGTGGCAGTTTGAGTAATAAAACCTCACCCTGTGCATCGTGGAAGACATTCTATCTAGAGGCTCAGGACTAACACAGCTGACATGGTTAAAAAGTAGTCCAAGAGTGGATATGTTTAAGTCTTATAAAACATCTTTTCAAAATAGTTTTTCTAATATGTAGAGAAAGGTCTGTAATTTGTAAGCATTCAAATCATATGGAAAAAGTCATACCCTGGCAAAGCTTCAGGTTTGAGTATCTACAGTGCACCATTAAGGAGATATAAAATAGAGGAGCAGAAAACAATTTTTTAAAGTATTAAAATACATATAGGCTGGAAATGCTTTGTTTCAATGCAAACTTTACAACTTAGTGAATCATTGCCATTTCAGAGTCTTAATTGCAGTTTTCCCACAGTGAAGCATAGCTGTGAAACGGTTTGCTTGGGGCAACAGGGAGGTAGTTAGCCTTTCGCAGATCCAATCTTCTATATTTTCTATGACTGCAAAAAGTTTGGTCTAGAAATTTCTCTGGAAAGGATTAAACCTCAGGAGGGAAGCAGGGAAAGCCGGCGTAGGGCAGGGGGCTCTCCAGAGAACTCGCGCGCCCTCTAGGCTGCAGTTCCAAGCACAGCCTGGCGAGGCACCTCTGGCCACCGTGCCACCGCAGGGAGGGAAGAGGAAAGGGGCCGGATTCCTCCCGGTAGGAACACTATCTGAACCAAAGAAACAGGCTGGCGACAGGAAGGAAGAGCAGAATAAGTGAATAGCAGCCACGGGCGACCGAGAGGCTGCGCGGCGCTACCAGGCGCGCGTCACACACAGTGTCCTGCCTCCCCGTCGTGTGTCACCTTCCTGTTCGGAAGTTTTAGTAGGTTGCTGGGACAGAACAGGGGGCGCCTGCTCCACCCATCAGGTATCCGGTTGGAAGAAAAGCCAGTCTCAACAACAGCGATTCTCTAGGTTAAATGACAAGTTTTGCCGGCCATCTGTCTCCAGCCAAAGCTGGGGTAGGGGGAGTCAGGAGCCCATCAGACGATGCTTTTCTGTTCCAACCACAAATCATATGGTTGTGTGTCTTCTCCATTCCCCTTAGAGCCCTCTTGCCCGAATTCCAGGTCCCTCCTGGAATGCATGTCGCCGATCCCCTTTGAAGAAAATGAACCCTGTGCATATGTTTTGGATTTTTTTCTGGACTGATTTGTGATGATAATCAGTTAAGTTACATTTCTTATGTGTCTTAGGGAGGCTGTAATAAACCTGGGACGCTGATGACTGTAATTTTCTGGATGATGTTGCAACGGGACTGGGGGGGGGGGATGGTAAATGGCCCAGTGTTGAACTTTGCAACTTGCTCCCTTCCTGTATGTAAATTCCCTTGATATAAAGTGGGGTGCCTAGCAGAACAGAGCCAGTTGCCTCAGGTTCAACCTCCCTTGCCATCTCAGAGACAGAAGCAGGGAGCCAAGTCCAGCCACAAGGGTAGCTCTAGCTCCAGGCTCCAGAAAAACAATCCTTCACCTTGCATCCCGGGCAGCCTGAAGAATGAAGGAGGAGGCTATAAAATCCCCTTTGAAAGGTGGGTGCTTTCGGTACTGTAACTTGGATGGTGAAACCAAGGTGCCCAGAGGTTTTGAAATTACTTGGCGGAGGAGGGGAAGAAGGGTTGGGTCTCTGGTTTCTCAATTTGGTGTTTTAAAAACAAAAGGGAAAAAGCTTCGTGCAAATTGACGTTCGCAGGCAGTAGGAGTGATTGTTCTCTTAAGACAAGGGAGGAGCAGGTGGGAACTGGACGTGGCTGGGCTGGCTGAGTGGCGGAACATTGGCTATGGAGCAAGGCGACACGAACTTGTATTCTGGGCAGAATCCGTTCAGGAAGAGACTGCCACGGGCTGGCAACTGAGATGTGGAATTATCGCAACCTTGCTTTAAATTGCAACACCAACCTCAGGCACTAGTCACCGCTCTGTTCGAGAGTGGGTGCTGAGCAAACTTTGTCGAGCAGCCTAGCCGGTGGGAGAGAAGTTGCATGCTTGCGTTATCCCCCGGAGTTGGGGCTGCTGCGACTGAGCAACCCAACCAGGAGCCCAGATTAGATCCTATTGGGGCAAATGAGGTGGCTGTGCCTGCAAAAACAAATCCTTGCCCAAGAGCAAGGGAAAACGCGCTTTGCAAGCTATTCGTGGTTTGACAGCTGGTGTTTGGGAGTGTGTCGTTGGCTCCACTGAGCAAACTCGAAATGGCAGGGCGAGCAAGGGGTTATGGCAGGGCAGCGGCGAGCGCCAGGTCTGCCGGCCCCGAGAACACGGCTGACCAGCAGCGGTCTGTCTCGGCTCCCGGTCGGGACTGAGCCACAGACCTAACCACGGGCAGCGCAGGCGCGCGTCCCCGCGGTTGCTGACTGACTGACTGACTGACTGACTGACTGACCGACTGAGCAGGAAGCCAGCGGCCTCGCCGCCGCGGGAGAGAAACGGCGAGGTCGGCTGGGAGACACACGGGGAGACGCGGGCCGCGGCGGGGGATGGACGAGGTGGCGCGGCCGTGAGCAGCTCCGAGGCGCCCGGGTCACGTCGGGTCCCGGCCGCCGCCCTCACCGCCCGCCTCCTCACGTGTTCTCGGCGTGGCGCGGGTTAAAATGCAAAGGGAAAAAAATGCACACGGAACGGACAAAATGTTCTGAGATTACTTTAGAGGAGAAAAAAGTGAGCTGTAGATTGCACTTTTTTTAAAATTTAGTGCAGAGTGCTGAATTTCGTTTCCGCCCCCTCCCCTCCACATTCCTGACCTCCCCCTCCCCCCGCCCCGTCTCTCCTGCTTTCCTTCCTCTTCTTCCAAGTTCTGGGATTTTTTTTTTTTTTTCTGTCAGCCTTGCTCGGTTTTGGCCAAAAGCACAAAAAAGGCGTTTTCGGAAGCGACCCGGCCGTGCACAAGGGCCATTTGTTTGTTTTGGGACTCCGGGCAGGAAATCTTGCCGGGCTTGAGTCACGGCGGCTCCTTCAAGGAAACGTCAGTGCCGGCCGGCCGCTCCCGCCCGCCGCCCGTCGGGGAGATGCAGGGCGCCCCGGCCAGGGCCCGGCTCGAGTCCCTGCTCCGGCCCCGCCACAAAAAGAGGGCCGAGGCGCAGAAAAGGAGCGAGTCCTTCCTGCTGAGCGGACTGGGTAAGCCTTCTCGGCCCCCCGCGGACGGCCGGGGCCCGGCTGAGGCGGAGCCGGCGCGGGGTCGGGCGGCGGGGGCGGCGAGGACCGGCCCCGGGGGCGCCCCGCGATGCCGGCGGCCGAGGGAGGGCTCCCGGGGCCGGGCTGGGGCCCGCCGAAGCGCTGCGTCCCCCGTAAGGCGAGGTGCGGGCTCGTCCACAGCCCGCCCGGCCCGCTCGCCGCGTCCGGAAGGCGCCTGCCTGGGCGTTGCGACCCCGACTTCCTCCCCGGGCGAAATCCACGCGAAAAATGGAAAATCTTACCCGGGGACGCGCCAGCCCTCCCCGCCCCCGCCGCCCGCGCTTTCCCGCTGGGCGCTCCCCGTGCCCACACGGGCGGATTGCCCCCTCGCCCCTCCGCCCTGCGCTCGCCCTCCCGCCGGGAACCGAACCGCCGGCCGCGGGCAGCTCGCCCCGCCGGGGACCGGTCGGCGGCGGCCGGCGGGCACGGGGGGCGGGGCCGCGCTGGGGGCGGGGCCGAGCCGCCGCGGCGTCACCGCACAGGCCCCGCCCCGAGCGGCGCGGCCTTTATAAGGCCGAGCGCCGGGCGCTGCAGCGGCGTTGAGCTGCGTGGGTCTGCAATCCCCGGCGAGTGTTTTGAGTTCTCGTCGTGGCGATGACGGTGAAAACCGAGGCTGCGAGGGGCACCCTCACTTACTCCAGAATGAGGGGAATGGTAGCCATTCTCATCGGTGAGTGCAGGTGTCGGACCGCCGCCGAGTGCGGATTTTGCAGTTCCCGGATCAGATTAGCCGTGTGTGGCGGAGGACGTTCCGAAGGCATTAAACGTCACTTTGTTTCTCCTTTTTAATTCACAGCTTTCATGAAACAGAGGAGGATGGGTCTGAACGACTTCATTCAGAAGATTGCCAATAATTCCTACGCATGCAAACAGTAAGTTCAAGGGCTGGGAGGAACTTGTGGGGATAAAAGGAGTGCAGGTTGGGCTGACCAATGGTCCAGAGGCGTTTTCCCAAAATTGGGTGAAGTTGGGAAACTCAAGACTTGGCCGGGGGTGGGGAATTTGCTTTTTCTCCTGAAATTCTGATATATTTGTACAATTTTTTTTTTTTTTGTTTAAACCTCGAAAGGGATTTGGCTTTTCTTGGTTACGTAAGATAATTAAAATATTTACGTACGGCTAATTCTCGCCCTCAATAACTGTACCTAACTGGGTTTGCAATTTAAACAGCCGAGTAGGTTGTTGGGTGCGAGTTGAAGGAAAAGTTGGAGCCAGAACCTCACTGTTGGTGTTGCCGCGCCCCCTAGCGGGAGTCGGGAGGCTACATGAAGTGTGTGTGTGTGTTCCTTGCAGCCCAGAAGTTCAGTCCATTTTGAAAATCTCGCCACCCCAGGAGCCCGAGCTCATGAACGCCAACCCTTCTCCTCCAGTGAGTATCTTCTTGCTGGTGAAGCCGTTTGTGGGGGAGAATCGTGAGTCACGAAGTATCCCGGCAAGCTGGGTTAAAAAGGCATTTCTGCAAATTAGTATGCGGGCAGGAATGCCTTATTTGTTAATGACATAACAACTGACACGGGTATTTGGCTATTGAGTCAGTGGAGTATGTTTAAAGGCATATTTCATAAATGCTTTATCCGCTGACAGCACTGTGAATGTGCGGCCTCCGTGTGCTGGTGAAGCAATAGCAGGTGTGGTTGAAACATCACTTGGAGTGCGTTGATAGAAGTGTAGGACTTGCTTTTCAGTCTTTTATGTTTTATTGTACACATCTGTCTTGGAAGCAGTGCGCTTAAAGGAGCATGTCTTATTTTCCAGCCGAGTCCGTCTCAACAGATCAACCTTGGCCCATCATCCAACCCTCACGCTAAACCATCAGACTTCCACTTCTTAAAAGTGATTGGAAAGGGCAGCTTTGGAAAGGTAATTTCAAATCCCAAGACATTTTTATACCCTCTCTGTATATGTGTCTGTTTTACCCTGTGCCTGGGTGAGGCTCCAAAACTGACGTTACAAAACATCATTGCAGGTCCTTTTAGCGAGACACAAGGCAGAGGAAGTTTTCTATGCGGTCAAGGTTCTGCAGAAGAAAGCGATCCTGAAGAAGAAGGAGGTGCGAGGCGCGCCTTGCCTGGGGTGGTACAGAGGGTGGATGCTCAGGGGGCCGTGCCGGGGGGCCGGGGGCTGGGGGCCGTGCCGGGGGGCCGGGGGCCGGGACCGGGGCTGAGTCTGTCATCCTGCTCCTAGGAGAAGCACATCATGTCGGAGCGGAATGTCCTGCTGAAGAACGTGAAGCACCCTTTCCTGGTGGGCCTGCACTTCTCCTTCCAGACAGCTGACAAGCTCTACTTTGTCCTGGACTACATTAACGGGGGAGAGGTGAGTGTGTCTCGGGGGGAGACACCAGCCCAAGTGGAAAGGGGGGTGGGAGGGGGGTGTCCGCCCAGCATGCTTGGTTTCAGGCTAAAAAAGGGAAAGATCTTTATAGGGGGTAAAAGTGACGGTGTTCCAGATAGTTCATAGACGACCCTGGGCTACTTCCTGCCATTGTTCTCTTGAGCTATGTATGTCGCCAGTGACATGTTTTAGCAGCCCAGACTAACTTTGTCCTGTCTCCTGCTGCAGTTGTTTTACCATCTCCAGAGGGAACGCTGCTTCCTGGAACCACGGGCGCGTTTCTATGCTGCTGAGATAGCCAGTGCCTTGGGTTACCTGCACTCCCTGAACATCGTGTATAGGTGAGCCAAGGAGCCAGGCCGGCCGCCTTCCTGGAAGCCACAGCCCCTGCTTCCTTCCTTGCACTGGAGCAAACCTTAACCCTGTGCCCCGGATCTGTGCACCTGCTGCTCTAAGACCACATGCCCCTCATGTGAGCTGTCTTGATTCCTTGCCACTAGGGAGCTGGCCAACCAGGATTGTCCCTAATCCTGAGTAGATTAGCAGTGACAAAGACTCCTTTTTGTAGTCACTGCACAACAGCAGTGAATGCTAAACACCTAATAGCCTTAGCAACTCTCTTTACAGAGGACACCAGCTAATGCACATTTTCTCTGTTTTTTTTTTTTTTTTAACAGAGATTTGAAGCCGGAGAATATTCTGTTAGATTCACAGGGACACATTGTCCTTACTGACTTTGGACTCTGCAAGGAGAACATTGAGCACAATGGCACGACATCCACCTTCTGTGGCACCCCGGAGGTAGGAGCTGCACTTTGGGAAAGGATTCCAAATTCCCGAGGAGGACCACTGTTGGATCCCCAAGTAGCTCCCTTTTAAACGCCAACACCCAGAGGTGGCTAGGCGGCCTCAGAAAGGAGAGCAGTGTTTGTTGAGAAGAAATCTGATAATGGACTCCGCAGTGACATATACTGTGAAAGGCCCTGCTTTCAGAGAACGTGCCTCGTCTCGGGCTGGTCCGGTCTCACAGGTTCTGAACTCTGGTTTCCTGTTGTGTCTTGCAGTATCTGGCACCAGAGGTGCTCCATAAGCAGCCCTATGACAGGACGGTGGACTGGTGGTGCCTCGGGGCCGTCTTGTATGAGATGCTGTATGGCCTGGTGAGTACTGCACGGGGAAGCATGGGGGCAGTGCTCCTACCTCAGTGATAACTTTCTAGAACTTTCTACCATATCCCCACTTAATAGTTGGACAAAGATGAAATGAAGGCCTGACCATTATTCTTGCCCAGATCCGTATGCTTAGCTGCCAAGAGCTGATAAGAGAAGCACATTGATCGTTTTATGAGAGTATTCTCTTGCTTACTAAATTGTTTGGTTGTTCATTTCATATTTTTTGCTACATCGGACAGCATTTGACCTGTATGATAGTGAGAGCTATAGCCTGTTTAGCATTCACTCCTCCCCCTGCAAGGATTGCAAAATAGACACCTAAAGGTCAAGGGCAGAAACACTCGTGCCGAAGCTAAGTGCCGTTTTCCCAATCTTTCAGCCTCCTTTCTATAGCCGAAACACAGCTGAAATGTATGACAACATTCTGAACAAGCCCCTGCAGCTGAAACCAAATATCTCAAATTCCGCAAGAAACCTCCTGGAGGGCCTCCTGCAGAAGGACCGGACCAAGAGGCTCGGTGCCAAGGATGATTTTGTGAGTGACTTGTGCCTGCTCTGCTAAGCCTGCTGGGAGGTGCGCAGGCCCCACCAGCCTTCCCTCAATGGGGCCTGCCTAAGATAATCTTGGGTTTTCTTCTCGACAGATGGAGATTAAGGGTCACGTCTTCTTCTCTGTAATTAACTGGGATGATCTCATTAATAAGAAGATTATGCCTCCTTTTAACCCAAACGTGGTGAGTAGCTGCTTCTCTTCTAAGTATTTTTTGGGACTCAAAGGGAAGTTGGCAATACTTTACTGGTAGCCCCATTGTTTTCCCAAAGAAAGAGTAGGAGTTTTCGTTCCAGCAGCATTTAACATTGCTGTCCCAAGCAGTTATCAACAAAGCACCCAGGGACAAAAGGGGGACCTTACCCTCTTCTGTGAAACCAGGCATAAGGCCGGAGGATACTTAGGATGGATGGTTGGTTAGGACAATTTCCCATCAGCATCCTAAAGAGGTTCAGTGCCAGCATCTCCAACCCCAAGCAGGATGTGTGGTTCTGAGCCTGTTTTTTTTTTTTTTTTTTTTCTTGCTGTCACAGAGCGGACCCGGTGACCTGCGACACTTTGATCCCGAGTTCACTGAAGAACCAGTCCCCAACTCGATTGGCAGGTCTCCCGACAGCATCCTCATCACAGCCAGCGTGAAGGAAGCCGCCGAGGCCTTCCTGGGCTTCTCCTACGCACCACCCATGGACTCCTTCCTCTGAACACTCTTGGGGTTGGTTGTGAAGGATTTCCTGTGTTTCTTAACGATTTCAGTTAGCCTTCCGGCAGAGCTGCCAGCTGACGGGACATCTTTGACGAGAATTTGCACATCCTCGGGAGTTTGGCAGTCTCACCGCACACGGCTTGCTGCAAGCTTGGGGACGAGCACATCATCCTCTCAGTGAGCTCACAAGGCTTTCCTTCTTCCTTCCAACGTGGTGCTATCTCCGAACCGAGCGTGAGAGGGCCGTCCCAAGACCGAGGCCAGAGTCTGGTTAGAAGGAGGACGAGCGTGTTCTGACAGGCACCTGTTGCGGGACTGTCATGAATATTAATGAAACGTGCCTTTCCTGATGAGGTTGTGTTAGCTCCAAAGCTTTTCCTACTGTGGAGTGTTTCCGTTCTGTACTCCTCCTTGTGGCTCTCCCCGTGTGACCAGTGGTGTGAGTGTGGCGTGCTTGATCACAGGTGGATTTTGTTATAAGCATCAATGTGACACTTGCAGGACACTACAATGTGGGACATTGTTTGTTTCTTCCATATTTGGAAGATAAATTTATGTGTAGACATTTTTTGTGAGATATAGTTAATAACTAAAATTTCTTGAAATGGTCTTGCAATGACTTGTATCCAGATGCTTAAAGAAAGCATTGCTGCTACAAATATTTCTATTTTTAGAAAGGGTTTTTATGGACCAATGCCCCAGTTGTCGGTCAAAGCCGTTGGTTTGTTCTTGTTTAAAATGTCACCTATAAAGTGGGCATTATTTATGTTGTGTGTGTGTGTGTGTTTTTTTTTTTGCATTCCTGATAACTGTATGTATTGTATAAAGAAAGTCTGTACATTGGATTATAACACTAGTATATTTAAACTTACAGGCTTATTTGTAACGTAAGCCACCATTTTAATGTACTGTAATTAACATGGCTATAATCTGTACAATCCTCTCCTGCACACAACTTTTTTTTGTGTGTGATAAACCAATTTCAGTTTGCAATAAAACCTTGAAAAGTATTTACACAAATGTATGTTTTGTAATTTTTGATGGGATACAAGTATTTTTAGCATCACTTGAGGGTATCATTCATATATCCACTCAAGTCACTTTAATTTGCCTGTTTTGCAAGGACAGCTACTAAGTATCGGCCGCTGTATTTATGGGCCACCATATGAAGTTGGACCATTTGTCCTGACATTGGGTTTGTCTTGAGGAACAAATAATTCTTTCAACAAATATTTGCCTGACCCAACTCCAGATGTCGCTGGCATTTGAGAAGTGAACCAGCAGATGGAAGATTTCTCCCTCTCTCTGTTTCAAAGAAAATGGAAATTAAAAAAAGAATTTTAAATCCCAGAGCTCAAGCCAGCTATTTCCCTGATGAAAATTGATGCCCTGCTCTGAGATTTTTGGCCTATTTCTCCCCCATCATCATTAATGATTGAATTCATCATGCAACAAATGGAGCTGAAATCACTTTTTTATCTCAAAGTAGTTCCTGTAACATCCGAGATAACTCCAGATAACACACCCGGTCCAGTTATGGGTTACAATTGTTTATTTTCTAAGGGCAGAAATTTGGTTGATTGAATCAGAGTCAGTGACCGCATGAGATCTGATTTACAGGTCTCTTGAACTGAAAGCTGGCAGAGAAGTCCCGGGTATCGTAACACAAACGGAGAGATTAGATCAGCTCCAAGTGGGTGGAAAAAGAACAGGGAAGTCAAGAGAGAACAAGTGATCATTAAACCAAGGACAATTATTTACTAAGCCCTGTGATGTCAAGTAACACACCCGCAGAGGTATCTTTTATCTAAAGGATGGGACATAATTCTGTCAACATAGTCCCTAAGGTTTACCCAGCCAGCCTGTTTTGGTGCGTGACAATTGAAAATGGACAACTGGCTTGTCTGTACCTCATTAGCTTTGAGTCTGTTCAAATATGAGTTTCAGGGAGATGTTTATTCAGCTGAGATTCCCATAAGTTTAAAACAGTGCTGCTACTGTGCCTGGGAAGTTGGCTAGCTTTTGGGAAGAGCAGGGACCTACCCATGATACATAGCAGTGAAAGAGGGGTGGAGAGAACTTCCAAGGTCTAGAGGCTCATTGTGGGACACCATGACACGATGCAATGGATTCCCTGAGGTTCTTACTAAACAAAGCTAGCTGAGGGGCTGTAATGAGATGTGGACCCTGCAGATGGGTTAAGAACAGGAAGACCTAATGCTACTGAGCTCTCCCTAAATGTTCCACATTGCCCTAAATATCGCATACCCAATTTGTTTCATCTTTGTAACCACCCGGTAATGTAAAGAGTGGAAAAATGAGCACAGAAATGTAGCTAGCCAGTGGAGAAAAGATGAGGGCAGAAGTCAAATCCAGTTTGGCTCAAAAGCCCCATGCTGTAATCATTATTCATCCTGCCAAGAGGTGACAATAGAAAAGCAAACCACCATGTGAGGCAGAGATGGAGGTGGGGAGGGGGGCATTTTGCAACTCTGGACACAGTAACTTATGGGGACAAGGATGCAGTGGGAATGTAAACACCTAACCATTTTGGAAAGCTGTTCAACAGTGTCTGCTAATGATGCACATACAGATCACTTATGGATCTAATCCATGTAAGCCATGGAGAGTATACATACATTCAATACATTTGCATCCAGTTTCACAATGACACTGTTCATATTACCCCCCAATTACAGGAAACGTGCACCAACAAATAAGATGAATAAATTGGGGATAGGAATTGGCTCAGCACCTGCCATGGCAGCCATTTAGGAAGTGGACTAGCAGATGGAAGATCTCTCTTTCTGTCTCTCCTTTTCTCTGTAAATCTGCCTTTCCAATTGAAAAAAAAAAAAACAATAATAAAATAAACCTTTGGGGAAATGGTATGTCTGAGAAAGTCAATGATTCCTTCTGGGAGGAAGGTATGGCTAGAGGCCAAGAAAATGCAGGAGGGCCTGGCTCCTGGGTGCACTAAATTCTCTATCTGCTAGGGATTTTTTTTTTTTTTAAGATTTGCTTCTTTTTATTGGAAAGGCCGATTTACAGAGACAAAGAGAAAGACCACCCATCCTCTGGCTCTCTCCCCAGATGGCTGCAATGGCCAGAGCTGAGCTGATCTGAAGCCAGGAGCCAGAAACTTCTGCTGGTCTCCCACACAGGTGTAGCATCCCAAGGCTTTGGCCATCCTCTGCTGCTTCCCCAGGCCGTATGTAGGGAAGTGGATGGGAAATGGAGCAACCAGGACATGAACCAACACCTATATGGGAGGATGTATATGGGAGGATGCTGGGCACTTGCAATTAGGCACTTGCAATTAGCCAATTGAGCTATTGAACCAGACCTGGTAGATTCACAACTCTGATACTGTGCTTTTCTGCTTTATTTGCTATATAACAATAAAATGTTTATAAGGAACATGGTGGAAGGTAATTGTTTACGCTAACAATTAAGGTGCCCACTTTCATGTTGGAGTTACTTGGATTCAATACCTGGCCCTAGCTCTTGAACTTCTGCGCCACACAGACCCTGGGGCTCAGCAGTGATGGCTCAAGTAGTCTGGTTCCTGCCACCGCAGGGGAGACATATATTACATGTCCAGCTCCCAGCCACACCCTGTCCCTTCCCTGAAGGTTGCAGGTGTCTGGGGAGTGAAGAAGCGGCTAGAGAATCTCTTCTTGTCTCTTTTGTTTTCAAACAAGTAGTAAATATTCTATCATATGATCAAAACAGGATGGTATGGGAAGCACGAGCAAGGGTCACCTACCCAATAGGGGGGAAGGAGCTGTGTTTTGAGGAAGGAGGTGTAAAGCAAGGGCTGGGGCCCACAGGTAGGCTGTGGAAGAGAAACTGGGGCTGGAGAATGAGAGAGAAAGCAGGACTTCCCAGGTGGGAGCTCCTAGCGATGGGCCCAACTTGTCTCAGGACAACCCACGAGACATTGATGTGGTTGGAAACTCTGGCTCTGGACAAGGGGAAGCTTGGACAAGGCTCTCCTCATTTCAATTTGAAGACAAAGACCTGGCCTTTCTCTTCACAGGAATCCATGAGATAAAACTCAGGGCCTCCGAATTCAAAGAATCCTCTAAATTACTTCCTTCCCTGCCCGTTGCTAGTCCCACTTTCCCTTGCTTTTACTAGGTTCTAGGGGAGGAGATACTAAAAGGCAGCACTCACTGGTTTCCAGGAGGGGATGGATCTTGTCGTTCATGTTCCTGAAAATCTTGTGGAGGAGTTTAGATTTCCTGGGGTAGCAGAGGCCTTGGAAAGCGTCCCAGAGAACTTTGGAACAAGACAAAGAATCCACGTAAGACTTCAGACAATCAACCCAGCCATGGCGGTGAGAAAGGGAACCAGAAGAGCTTCTCTAAAGTCCCTAAATCAACAGGACTGTGGGGGTTACTGGGAATGCAGGAAGGAGAAGGAACCCAAAGCGAAGCACGTGTAAGGCCATTTATTTCTTCCACATAATTAACTTACCTAAGAAGTTGTCACAGCTGTGATAATAGCTTCTAGGACAAAGGCCACCCACTATTTTTCAACAGCCCCAGGCAATAATGAACTAGGCAATCAATAATCAATCAACTTAACTGGCAAGGCTAGATGTTGGTGTCATCAATCTCTACCCTCAGCCCATTAAGTCATTTCTCTCCTCTTCCATCAAAAAGCCTCGGAAACCCTATTCCATGTGCGTTGAGCCTTGCAGTGGGAGTGTAACATCTTATTTGGTGTCAATCAGAACAACACAGGTGGCATGTGCTGTAGCAGTTAAAATACAACCAGGCACCTGTGCATCAGATGGAGTGCCTGGTTCAAGTCCTGTGGACTCAGTTTTCTGCTGACGTACACCTTGGGATGTGGCAGGTGATGCTTCAAGACCTTGGGCCCCTGCTGTCCACTCGGGAAGCCAGGTTCCTTTCCTGGCTGTGGGAGCTCTTACAGGGATCTCTCTCTCTCTCTTGCGCCTTTATACTTTTCTTTCTTTCTTTTATAAAATTTATTTGTTTTCATTAGAAAGGCTGTTCTGTAGAGAGAAAGACAAAGAGGGAGATCTTCTGCCTACTGGTTCACTCCCCAAATAGCCTCAACAGCCTGAGCTGAGCAAGCCGATCCAAGCCAGGAGCCAGGAGTTTATTCTGGGTCTCCTACATGGGTGCAGGAACTCAAGGATTTGACCCATCCTCTGCTGCTTTCCCGGCCATAAGCATGGGGTTGGATGGGAAGCAGAGCAGCTGGGACACAAACCGAAGCCCATATGGGATGTCAGTGCTTGCAGATGGAGGATTAGTCAATTGAGCCTTTGTTCCAGTCTCATGTACCTTTCAAACAAGTTAAAAAAAAAAAGTGCAATTTTACAAAAATGAAAAATATACTCATCCAAACATGCCCAATTTAAATTATTTAAATGTTCTTTTTTTAAAAAAATATTTTTCTTATACTTAATGACAGCTAATTTTCCAAACCGAAAGTTTAATTATTACTGTTTAGATGTCATTATGGCTTTCATGCATTCTTTGCTAAGCTAACTTGGCCATTACATGCTTGTGCTAGGTGATGATTAATTTATATATGCTGTCCTTGCTTTCTCACGTGTTTTCAATGAATGACTCAACTGTTTACTTCGTGTGCACCTGTAACATGGTGTTCAGACACATATCTTTATGTAGTTGGATGCCTTGGAAACCATGGATTCCCCTGGGCAAGGTTCTTTCACCTGTCCCCTGTCCTGAGCTCCACCTGATGTGTCATGACAGCCACAAAGACAAAGTTACAACGACAACATGCAAGGAACAGACTGTACATAAAGAGTCCAAGGGTTGCAGGCAAAAAAGCCGCAGTGTCGTTTTATGTACAAATACATCCAACCGATGCATGCCTGCCAATTTCTTTATGACACTCGAATGTTCTGAACACAATTCTTCTTAACCTCATTTTCCTGTGTTTTGGTAGTCCGACTCTTTTATTAAAGAAACCTATGCTCATTTACGTATTTCTAATTAATGCAGAG